TTATTATTATTATTATTATTATTATTATTATTATTATTATTATTATTATTATTATTATTATTATTATTATTATTATTATTATTATTATTATTATTATTATTATTATTATTATTATTATTATTATTATTAATTATTATTATTATTACTATTGTTATTATTATTATTAATTATTGTAAACGCATATCTTTGTTCTTATACGCATTGATATATATGATATATGTATATAGATATGTAACATTTTTTTTTCGTTGACATACTTTTTTATTTAATTTTTTCCTTTTAAGTAATCGGCACAGCAATTGTATTGAAATAAATGCATTTGTGCATGATTTGGTCTAATATTTGTTTGATGAAAATTTTCGGAAGAAAGAAAAATTATTTTCAAATATTTTAATCCTATTAATACTGTATATATCATAGCACACCATAAATTTATATAATTGCCATAGATATATGTAATTCAAATAATAACAGGTATTACAAATGTTTTGTTCATTCTTAACAATCCTTCTCTACCTTTTTATTCTCTCTTATCAATCCCCTCTTCCATTCCTTCTTATTAATTAGTGATATGATCAGCAGGAGTTATTCGGTAATAAATCATCTAATTTTAAAAACCTGAAAATGTTTTTAATTCAAAAAGAAAGGGAAAAAGTGTAGAAATGAGAATGTTGGTATTTACTTGTGGTTCCTTTTGCAACTCAATATTATCGTTATTTTGAGGAGGAAGATATGATTTGTATTTTTAATTAAATTTCATTCATATCGAAATTTTTAGGGGTCTACCCGTTCCAATGCCTGCGGTGAAATTTGCAAGCAGACTTAGGAAGGTATGTTTACTTTATCAATCATTCATCTCCCTTATCACTTGTTTCCTTCTACATTTAGTTATCTAATTAATTAAGATTTGAATTTTGAAGCGATAAAAAAGATATATATTGTTAGGTATTACCATGCAAAAATGCAAAAACGAGCGGAGTTGTAATTAAGCCACGTTTTGTGAGGAATGCATCAGCTGGATATCCGTTTATTTCGCGCGGTTTGCAAAGGAATCTTAATGCTCTGATCGATGTTTATTCTTTAACTGCTGATATGAAACCATCAGAGTAATTTCTCATTTAGTGCTTTTCTTTAATATACTAACGATAGTTGATATTGAGAGTGTCACTTTAGTCTTAATAAGAGTGATATTCGCGACATGGCTCGATTCCTTATTAAATGTCGTCTAGCAACTTGATTTCAATAAATTATATAACCTGCTTATTGTGAATATATCTGTCCCACTTTTCTACTTTGAAGCCAAATTACCTGTTGTATGAGTAAGTTGGTTTCAGCATATCTTAGTATTTTCTTCAATACTCAGCAAATGATAAGAGTAAGATACATTATCGCATACATACTCTTTACAGAATGGCACCATCCACGGTTAAATCTCGTGTTATTCAAAGTACGGAAGAGGATGATGAAGATTTGGAGTTAGTTGTTGATAGTGATGAAGACAACATCGTTGATAACAATAAGGAAGAGATTATCAGTCAAACCAGGTTTGATCAGAATAATCCCAATGATACTGTGAACATTGTATTTTCGCTCAAAATTTAACCTTTCGTTTTACAGTGCAAGAAATGATCGAATGAATAGTAAACTGGGCAGCATTTCGAAGGAATCACGTCATTATCGTACGGAAAGTATTTGTTTAGAAATGGGTTATGAAGAAGATCCATCATCTGAATCGTGATATAAAGAAATTTTCTTTTTTGTTAGGCTAATATAAAATTGCCGTTATTGCATGGATACATGTACTGATAATGAAAGATTGAAAAGATAATGCGAAAATACCATGAAAAATCGAGGAGGCGAAGGAAGAAGTACAAATGTAGCAGAAATTTTTATTATCACAAGAATTTGTTTAAAAATGAATGGAAAAAAAACTGATGAAATATTCCCAAAATGTGAATAAGCAATTGATGAATTTATTCAACAAAAATTACAACTGTAAATTATATACAATTCATATATATCTTTAGAGCACTCAGTTTTCTCATTCTCATTATATTTTAATTAGCAATTAGAAAAAAACTGAACGTGACAAAGCAGAATGACGAAGGGAAGAGTGTAAGATGAATTTTTCAGATTGTTCACAAAATAATTTACTGCATAATGGGATAGTTCAGATGACCTATATCCTGAAATAATATACTACAGTAATTGTGATAATAAATGAGCAGATTGATGGGTCGAAGATTATTTACACTTTTTAGATGTTATTTGTTCGATGATTATCGCTACTTGCCCATTTATTTATTTACTACTTTTATATTTTTCATTCCTCTTGGTCTCTTTGTTTATATTTATTTCATTAATTATTTTCATCATGTGAAAAAACATTTAATTTTCAGCAGAAAAATCGAAATAACATGAAATCATTGCTTTAATGACAGAGTATGATTAGTAACAATTAAAAAGAAACAATTTACTTATTTTGATGAAATAAAAATAGAAGTACAAAACTTACACTTAAAATTTGCAACAAGAAAAAGTGCTCCGAGGAGAAGCATTTTATCTGTTGGGGTGATATTTCGTGGAACTAAAATGTGATTTTTTTTTAGCCATAATTTTGAAATGAAAGATATGCTGAAATCTTCCATAACATGATTGTTTTGAAGCCATTTATCAAAAAATTCAAATAAACGAAGAAGAAATGAGGAGATCTGCTAACATGTGATATTGAAATTGTCAATAGTTGCAATCTTATCACTCGTTTCTGCCCATTCTTTTGTGATAATACCAATAAGAACATTCTTATCTGCTGATATCACCTAATGTTAGCATAGTAATCTTAGAGATTACGGTATGATTTTAAAACAGTATTTCCTGTTTGTCTTCTTAAATTTAGCTTTTAACTTACAATAAAACTGTAAGTCAAATTAAATTCTTCGATTTATCATCACTTTTCGGATTCTACAATATCAACATTTTTTTTTCTTATGAAGCCATTCCGGAGATTACCGTATCATATCAGTTGTCAATAATCACTTATATTTCTAACAACGAAAGAATGGAAAAATGTACTTCATACTGTATATTACAGCAATAACAAGCAATGTAGCTCAGATTACTAGTCGAACCAATAATGAAATATCTTGGTTTCCCTTTTGCGTCCTCAACTTGATAATATGGTCTGATGAGACTAATTTGCTGGACAACTGCACCTTTAACTTATCCAATAACCGTAATTATTGCACGTAAACCATAATAAAACAAGAAGTACAGTAATTTGAGATTTTGTTTAACAAGCAATGAGACAATAATCAGCGTTGCTAAATGATAGATGAACTGTACCTTTGTTAAAAAATGTTATCAATTCAAAATCATCCTGTATGCTTTATTTTCTAAATTTTAACGTACGCGATAATTATTAATGACTATTATTATATAATAATATACTAATATAACAATGAATATAATATATATTATAATAAGTGATAATATTATAATAAATTATATATACATAAAATTTCATTCAACATTAAGTAAAGAGACCGATGACAAATCCTGGAGGTGATTCAATTATTATCTGATGAGATTTATTGGTCGAAAATATGCAACAAACAGGATAGGCACCACATCGACCGCCAAAAAAACTTGAACACGTTAGCAACTTTTTCATCTTTATCATTTCCTGAATTATTGATTGTGATATGGCACTAAGGAAATATTAACTTACGTAAAGAAGACGGGATCAAGTACATTTCCTAGGATTTTCACATAAAAATAAGAGATTCTTGAGAAGTAACAATTAAATCGACATGTATTTAAATTAGAATGATACAAAAGTTAGAATAAACACTCTATTCCAGATTAAACCATGGACTCGTTTTCTTGAAGTAGATTGAATCACTTTAATAATACTTAAAGGATATTTTAATAAATGTGAATATTTTTGGATAAATGAGAACTTAAGCCTTACTTGTCCTGTGGAAGTAGTGAAATGTAAGTGAGAGTATTTCGCTGTTCTACAATTACATTGACATATATTATTTGATGTTTCAAACACATGGTAAACCTGAAATTCATTCGATCATTCAGTAACTTCTTTGACATTTTTAGCTTAAGCATTACTATTATGAATAAATGAGAAATGCTTCAGCTCGGAACATAAAACTGAAATGAAATAAAAACATAACACTATCTCTTCTCCTCTCTCCCTCACCCCGCCCCCTCCTCCGCCAAAAAAAAAGTGCGTATCAGTAATAAGAGGGAAAGAATATAAAAAATCCACTTTTAGGGTAATAATTGGTACTACAGTGCCAATGAAATACGAAAAATGTTATTTATAGTATTTAGAAAATAAATGTTTCGGACTATGAGTATTTTAAGACCTGGCCTGAAATGTCTTACACGTTAATTCCGCAATGTTCCACATTAATCGCCCTCCTAAAATGGTAAATCTCATATTAAATATGAAAAATTGTGCAACTTTAGCATTTCTATGAACAAAAAAAGCAGAAATTGTTGGATGAGGTAAAAACACTACCAATTTCCCTTTTATATCTTCGATAACATATCGATTCTCCCGAAGGAAACCGAGAAATGTATCGATTGCATTAGAGTGCTACAAAAAATAATGTAGCAAAATGACAATTTCTAATTCATTCTTCAATTAAATTTGATAATTTAAGTTTTGTCTGCTATAAAGTACCGTTGTTTTTCTTTTCCTTTTTTCCGTTCTCTAAAAATTGCATCCTTTTTAAAGTATTTGAGTGCAATGAGGAATTTTCAACTGAGTAATTTCAAAAAAGTGAATTTTTTTCAAATAATTCTTTAAAGATTTAAAAGGTAACAATGAAAATGATAACCTGTCGAATATAAAACTGCTTGAGTGATTGAAGTGCTAACGAGGTCTTCTGTTCACTTACTGATAAATGATTAGCTGTGAATTTACTAATAACATTCCTTCGTTTCTCCTTGTCTAAATGCGTTACTCTTGTGAACTCAAGTAGTCTAAGCATAAGTAAAATATACCGAAATATGGAAAAAAAATCGTACCATTTCTAATGCTAGTAGTAGTTTGATCATTGACTGAAATTTTAGCATTCTTGAAAAAGTTCATTTGTGGATAAGGCTGTTTGGTGACAGCAGTGGGTGAAATGATTTCAAAATATTCCGATTTGGAATTTGAATTATCATTTTCTGGAAAATATTCCATATCTGTATCAGTCTTGGAGCTAGTTCCAATTCTATAATTTCTTCTCTTATCCCGCCTTTCTGTAACTGAAAATTTCATTCTGTATGGAAAAGGAAGTTTTATCGAAACTATGCAATAGCCAGAATTGACCCCAGTTCTATCCTCTTTTACACTGATAAAATTCACCTTTCATATGATCATTTGTTAATAATGTCTATTCGGAGAAATAATGAATGATGTAGGATATGGCAAGGGCAGGAATTATTAACACCGAGTGTCGGTGTTGAGATATTTTGAGATCTCAAAAAAGGTCAAGTTGTACAAGCAAAGACAGCGAATCAGCACAATAAATGAGATGCAACACAAACAATATCTTGCTGACCTTCGATCCGCACTGCTGGATCCTTTGACATCGTCTAACCGAGCGACACCGTTGAAAATCCAACAACAATCATAAATAAATGATCGCTGTCGATAAATAAAACTTATTTGAAATCATGAAATTTACATCTTTTTGTTAACTCTGAAATTTGTACATCATTGCAGGATCGCTTGTCATAAGAGGTCATGGATGAATTTATTTTTGATTTCGACATATATGAATATAAGTTTGCATGCATATATAAATTTTGCATGTAGAGGGATGCTTGCGGATTTGGACAAAATTTCAGTGAAAATTTGATGACGACATTAACTTTCCAATTCAGTCCTTAGTCGCCCAACATCTACGAACTCCTGTCCCAAACATCTCACCTTGACTTCTGACCTTCGTCCTCTGAACTCACCTCACAGAAAAAGATTATAATGCAGTTGACAACCTTTCCTCCTCACCGCTTAGGTCATGTTCTCCACATACCCTCACAAAATTCGAGCATACGGCATGCAAATATTTCCTTATTCCAAGTAATGATTTATCCTTTGCCACTGGATAGGTGTCTTATATTTTTGATTTGTTTTTTTTTTTTTTGGAGGACTTTCTAGAAGGATTCTGAGTAATTCTATATGCTACACTATGACGTGCATCACTGTTACTTCTACTTTTATTTTGTTAAAGTCTGAAAGAACTTTCAATTACCCTGAGTAATAAGCGTATTGTAATTAATCACGTAATTACGTGGAATCATTCTGAGATAACATGCTGTTGTTTAGATGAAGTATTCTTTTTCAGACAAAAAGATTGTCAAATGGCAGAATTTCCTGGTTTTGGTCGTCATTGCAACTTTGATGGCTGTAATTTGCTGGGTAATTTCCTCATTATTATCCATAAATTTTAAGTGTCGCATTTGAAATCAACAAAATAATAGCTCTTCCTTCATTTGACATTACTGGTAGAAAAGTGACGTAAGTAACTGTCAGATCACACTTGATAGGTGTATCAGACTCTGAGTTACACTTTTTTTTGCTTTATGTCTTTTATTTTTACCGCTGTGGTTTGCGTAGAAAAATTCAGTGAATAGAGTACTGCTTAATGAACTGACACCAAATTCAATAGCAGTTTGAAGGGGAAGTGTCTCAGTCTAGTATTACACTTACGATATTGTACTGGCTGTCAGCTTTATCTGGTAATATGTATGCGAATAATTTAGTATGATGTAAAATAGTATTAATTACTTTTACTGGGTCATTTTATACGTTTGTAATGATACGTTCAACACCAAATACTGCTGTGGTTTTTTGTCCCCGATATGCTATGTGAACGAGTTTTGTTTTTTATAAAATTGTAATCTGAATTAGTAAAATGCGGTTTATATTTGTGTTGTTTTGGTCTTCATTTTTATACAAAAGCTATCATCGATTACTTATTTTGGATGCTTATAATTTTCAGATTTTCTTCCCGTTCGATGTGATGCGTGTAAGAAAGATTTTTGTGGTTCGCACTACTCGTATGATGCACATTGCTGTCATTCTTTATATAAAAGGGTATCATTTCATCTTTGTCGTTACTAGAATTTGATTTCATAAAAGCTTTAATTAGTTTTTCGGAATCCATTATGTTCAATCGCATGCATGGGAAAGGAATTTTTGGAAATTAATGACCGATTTCTGAAATTAATGACCAGTTTTCAGGATATGCAAGTGCCAGTATGCCCATTGTGTAGCAAACCAATTCCAGTAGCACGAGGAGAACGTCCAGACAAACGAGTAAGCGATCACATCGACTCGAATTGTAAATCAAATCCTGCGATTGCATTAAAAGGGAAAATTTATACATATCACTGTTCACAACGAAATTGCAAGAAAAGAGAGGTATTCCTTAAGTTTTCTTTTTCCAGAAAGATTGTCTACAGTATCTTGTTCTCAAGTGAGAAAACTCTTATATGAGGAGTGAACACATAATGGTTTGTCTTGTGTTCAACAAAAGAAAATTACTGGATCGAGACACATGTTATTTTCGTTTATTTTCTTTGTTTCTGTAATTGGTTATTTTACTCTATATTACCCGGCTAGCCAGTTGTTATTCCAGTATTAATCAACAAATCATTAGCAACTAAAAATAAATAGAAAGCTCAAATGACTTCAAATCGTATCTTCAAAGGTTTACACGGTACTTCCAAGCAATGCTGACAGTCGACCATTGAATAAAATTAACTTAAGTCACGTTTTAGCTTGTTTCTATTAAATGTAATCAGTGCGGGCGAAATTTTTGTCTAAAGCATCGATTTCCAACCGATCATGATTGTATGGAAGTGAGAAACGAAAGACCACTCTCAAATGCAGCGCATGTTTTACAATCAGTTTGTGACAGTTTTGTAACAGTTTGTTCATTTGATGCTGATTCCTCTTTGATGAGTTCAATAAGGACTGAATATTACTTCATACTGATTATAGATTAGCCGCACTGCATCGCAATAAAAAAAGTTACCGGAATGAATCAGTCACAAAAGAATCACATGACAACCCTCCGTTACCGGTTAACTCAATGGTATGTTTATTTTTCTGTTTATTTATATTATTTTAAAGTTTATTTATATTATTTAATTTATTGTTTTTCTTTTTCTTTCTGACATAATATATGAAGTGAAAAAAATTAGACTCTCGTTTTTTAGAGGTTTTTTTTTTTTGCCATTTGCATCGTACTTTCAGTCGGAAGACGAAGCACTAACACGGGCGCTGCAGGAACTGCTAAATAATTCCGATGAATATATGACTCTAGAAGAACGCGACAGGGCTGTTGCAGAAGAAATGCAAAGAATGGAATATCAGTAAGTTATTAAATCCCAACTTGAAGTAAATACTGGGACTAACTTTATTTGATATTTCAAATAATGTGATGAAATCTTGGCGAAAGTCTTTTTTTTAATATATTGTTGGACAAGAGATTCAAAGTGGTAATTTGCAGTCATTTTTAACTTTTGAAAAGTTCTAGACAGCAATTGCAAGGACAGCGAGTTCCAGCAAATTCAAGTCACGACAGATGCATTATTTCATAGTAAACTAAATATATTGAAATTCCATGTGTGTCCACTGAATATATTTGAAATTCCAAGTGTTCTTTCCTAAAGTCATTTTTACATTTGGTTACAACTGAAATCTTCGTTTATCTGTTGAAAGAAAGGAAGTTTTGTCTCTCCAAAGTGGTGAAATGGAAAATTAAGCTTTATGAAATACTTTTGTGCCATAGATAAATAAATTCCTCTTTTTCGAATTTCACTTCTCTGTTTTACAAGTTTCGTGAATGACTTCACCTTTTCGTACTCTCTTGCTAGATTATTGTGCATTCTTCGGGTTTTCGTTGTAAATGCGATTTGCAGTGACAACATACTTGGGTTGTGTCAGAGATAAAGCTGTACGTCTCAGGTTGTGTTCTTTATTCTTTCATTATGCACATTTCTCTGTCTACTTGCAGCTTTTCTTATTTGTTCGTATTGTTATTGTAATCTGATTTTAATGCCATATAAAATTATGCTTTTTATATTTTAAGACGTTATGATCGAAATTACTCTTCATTTGTTCGCTACACTTTTATTATATTAAAAATGGGACAATAAATTCGTATGTGTGGGATAAAAGGAGGATCTCCGAAAAAAGAATCTCGAAGCTTCAGATAAACAGTGCTGAAATTAAAAGTTTGGAGAAATCCTGTGATGTGGTTATGATCAAATGTCCTAAAGTTTGGTCTGTCTGTTCTTCCTTGAGGATTTTCCATTCATGACAGACTTCTCTCTTAATAGCTAGGACAATCAAACTTTTATGCAGATTGCGTCTACGAAAACCAGGGACAGAAAAAAAACGTCTGCGAAAACCAGGAACATATTCCAATTTTTCTGCTTTCATTTCCTACTGTAACAATAATATCCTGCTCTCTTTGTTTTTCGACGAATAATAATTTTGGGTTGGATAACAATTTTAAGCAACAATTCCAGACTAGTTATTGGTCAAGTAAGTTATTTTCCAGACCGGAAATGGGGCAACTCAATGATGAGTTCAAGACGATAAGTTGTCAGTGCTGTTAGCATTTCGTTGAGAGATCCATTGAATTCATTCTCAGAAATTGTTTACCATCAATAGATGTTGTTCTGTCACCTATATGTTTTCATAGAAGAAATTTGTTTACCTTTGAATTTGAATGAAGGTAATGTTCATTTAACTACTTAACAAAGCACGACATTTTACTTTACATCATGCCAACAATAATAGATGGAAATTTCACTATCTATTATGTTTCAGGCTGTATCAGCCATTTTGGTTGATCAGTAGACAGTTTTAGGATAAGGGTAGATATTTCGGGTAAATTGGGAGAGATTTGGCGGTACTCTTTGGAATATCACCCGATGTTTTTGTCAGCTGACAATACGGAATTTGCGTTGTCGGAAATTATCATTGCATTTTTAAAATCAAGAAGCTTGAAGAATAAATTGAAATTTGAAACTTACTTGTAATTTTCGTTTTAATTGTTTGACTTCCTTTTAGCTTTTCTAAAGAAAAAGCAATGTAAATTTAATTCTATTAGAAATAGAGAAGTGTTGATTGATAAATGGAGAAGCTGTTTCCAACTAACTCTAACGGCAGATAACATCCGTTAAGTTAATGATTAACCTATTATGAATGACAAATGAATTGTTTTCCGGATGCAATGTTTTCGGCACTTTTCTACAACGATACTATTACTGATTAAACTATTATTTGTTAAAAATGTTACATCAATGGTATGTCCTGATGGTTATGCAGGTAACGAATTTCATAGCTTACTTTATGGATTGGGCTATGGTACTTTGGCTCAAATGTAAGTAATACTTTTTAGTCATTTGCATCTTTAACCTTTCTTACCTGTACTCTTCAACTGAATATCTTTAACAATGATATTTAAAAAAAATATTCTGGTGTAATTATGCCTTTTTTTGTCTTTTAAAACATAAGGTAGAATTATATGTGTATATATATATATATATAGTTGTGTGTGTATGTGTGAATTTCAAATATTCTATTTCTATTCCAGATGTCCACCTGATAATTTCTTCTTCTCATATATATGTTGTGATCAAGGATATTTCGAATGCTGTATAAGATTCGAATTATGGTTTATGTAAGTTTTCTCATGACATATCGAAATTCGAATTTCGATTATGTAATTAATTATATCATTTCGTCCCATGCTTTTTCCTAATGAATAGTTATGCCAATTATTTAAGAAGTTTCAAATTTATTTGAATTTTTTCAGAATATTGATGGTTGTAATGTTAATTTCGATCTCATTTTGCTGTTTCTGCTTCCTGTTTGCAGGTATTCTATACGTAAGAAAAGTGGAAAATACGTGATAAGCCTTACTGTATCACCATCTCTTTAATTAATAATTTGTAAATGTAATTTATCTGCAAACGATTTGATTAGCTGTTTACTTTCATTTATTTCTTTATTTATTTTTCTCTCGTTATGAATATAAAACAATCAAACTTGAAATGAAAGCAAAAGGAACGATTTTTATTATATTTGAAAATAGCTTTTAATATATTCTTTCTTCTTATTTCTCCTTTTTTTTATTTTTGAAATACTTTGTTAAAACTTTTTAACGTGCAAAAATTAATTTATTTTGTAAACCAAAAATTGATTGAAAATGAACCTATCATTGTCATTTTCTTTTAATCATTGCAACAAAATAAATATCATCAATGGATAATATCATCAGTGTTTTTCCGCTTTTTTTATTTTTATTTCTTATTTTTTGTTTTAAATTTAATTATCTTTGATTTCTTCCTTCTCTTTTTTAAAAAATTTCATTAATTTATGTGTAATTTGAACTGGAAAACATTGATAATATTGTTTGTAGTTCAATGTAAACTCATCGAAAGTCTTTGTCACGTGTTGATAGCATTATCATCTCTCTCTACCTCTTTCTCTCCCTCTCTCCTTTTCTCTCCCATCTTTGCTTATTTTCAGGTTCTTTGCTTTGACATTTTTATGTTTACTGCAAAACTAAAAGTATTTTATGCGAATTGATTCGTAAATTAAACATTTTTGCATGAAAATCTAAGCAGAATGCATATTCTATTCTGTTTTAACTTTATCAATTTTTGTCTTTCAAATATTTAATTCTTTTAAATTTGTCAACATTTGTTCTGGAAACTTCAAACAATCTTTTCATTAGTTGACGTTAATTTTTTTTTCGTTTTATACTATTATTTAAAGTCATTTCAATCCATCTTATAGCCAATCACAAATACATCATTTCAATCTAACTTATCACATACACAGTCATTTCGGTCTAGTTAGCTATGCACATTTGCTAACATTAATCAAATAAAATAGTAATCAAGGTAGAAGATAATATACAGTAATACTGTATCTTTGGATGGTGATCGTTCTCTCTGTTGTGTTAGTTAAGCAATAATGTGATAACAAATCACATTCTTACCTTCTTCTTCTTCTTCTTTTCACTCTCTTTCCAGCTGTTCAGTCCAACTCTTTCATTAGTTCATTTTATCAGTTTAGTATTTAAGCAATGATAATTCAGTGAGTGTATTTCGTTCAGTGTATTTCTTGCATTTCAAACTAATCGTTTGTCTAGGCATTTTCTTTCAATTCTTTCCTCACTTTATAAATTATTTCAATTTTTCATTTCATTCTCTTTCATTATCACAAATAAAATATCTGAGCATTGATTTGATAATATTTGAGCGTATAGCTTTTCTCTCTCTCTCTCTCTCTCTCTCTCTCTCCCTTTCCATTTCCCTCTGTCTGTATTAATTTGCTTTTAGCATTGCTTATTCATTTACTTATTTTGGAAAAATTTTTTGAAAACTTTTCGGAAGAAATTTGCACAACGAAAACGATATGCCTGATTCGATATTAGTACCGCATAGTTCATTCACTTCATCCACTTCTTCCGCATCCGAAATTGACTACATGCAAAATATCAAAACTATGTTGGAGAGCTCATCATCCCAGGTTTGTTAATTGCCTTAATTAATTCAGTCTATTGCCTAGTTAATTAATTTTTCGATTACTTATTGGTGGAATTAAATTGACGGCTAATAGAGCAACCATCAAAATTTGCACTAATTTAGCAGTAATAACAACGAATATAAAATTATTAAACGTAACTAATTTAGATTCTCAATAACTTTGAAAAAAATCCCTGTTTTTTCGAATTTGAATTTAGATTTGAGAGATTGAAATGCGTAACTTCTCCATTCATCTCTTCACTTCCATTTGAATATTTGGGTAAATAGAACGAATGGAAGTGATCCAAAAAATTAATTTGTTTTTTTCTTGATATTTTCTTTTTCCTTTTAATCTTTATAATCCAAATTAAACTTCTATTAGTTATCAAATTCAGTAATTGTGTAAAGGGAATGGAATGATCCTTCCAGAGATTCATTCAAACTTACAAATTATTATTCTATTTTACAGATATCACGCAATGGTAATTCACAATTACAACGTCTCATAAATAACATCGATAATCCGGAGAAGACGAAACCGATGAAAGCGGTATCATTGGGTGAGCTGAATACTGTTGATCTATACTTTATCATTGTTGCTATCTTGGAAAGGCGAATAATCACTTGTGAGGAACAGAATGATGCATTGAAGAAATCCTTAAAAAAAGCATTACGAAGAATTGCTAAATTGGAAGATTTGATTGGAAATACGGAACTACCAGAAAGAAGTCTACAAATGTTGACACATTCGAAGTCGTCCACTTCTTAAACTTTCATCTATTTTAATTATATAGCATTATCCCACACACTTCAAATAACTGTTTTGTTATTAATGACAAAATTATCAAACACAAATGATTCTTCCTTCTTCCATTTTCTTTTGCAAATTTGAAATATGTAAATTTGAAATTTTGCCAAAAATAAGATCAGATCAGAGATCACCTTTTAACTTTCCTTTCTCTAAAATATGCAAGTTAGCAATGTAATATCATCATCATCATCATAGCTTTTTATATATTGTCGTTACTGTTTCATACAACAGTTTTTTTCTTTTTTTTTGAAATTTTATGAAATTTTCTTTTATTCACTGAAAATATTTCGCCCAAAGCTTTTTTTTTACCTTTATGTTAGATAACTTCTTTTTTTCTTTGCTTGTGATGAAAAGAAATTAATGTTTTTTTGTTTGCTAAACAGAATGTAAGGACAAACTTGCCTTTAACTTTATATAATTAATAGCCAAGGACAAAGCTATAACAGATAAGTGTTATAGCTAAGGATCAGGTTATAGTAACGAGAGGATAAGTACTATCTTAAAATAAAATTAAGTATACTTTGGTACTAGCAGCAGTCGTTGTAATCCAAAAACAAATTATATATTTAATCTTTTCAAATCATCTTTTTTTCTTAGCTTATCTGCTAATGTGCTTATCACTATGTTCATGTAAAATATTCGCAATATCAGCTGATAGTTAGCGACGAATAAACTTAGTTTTATTTTCAAATTGTTTTCTAACATTATTATTATCACTAATAATAATAATAATAATAATAATACTAATAATAATAATAATACTAATAATAATAATAGTAATAATAATAATAATAATAATAATAATAATAATAATAATAATAATAATAATAATAATAATAATAATAATAATAATAATAATAATAATAATAATAATAATAATAATAATAATAATAATAATAATAATAATAATAATAATAATAATAATAATAA